GTGCAGCTTCCGTATCGACACAAACTTTCATGTCGCCCTCGGAAGGCGGTCGATAGGGCAGGCTATGCGTTTCGCCTGAGACTTGCTCACATGATCCTGAAGCTTGAAGCTTGCAACGGCTACAGTGATCCAAGGCTGTGGTTTTGAGAACATGACTCTCGCCTGAGCATCGCTCACTGTCGTCGCGAAATAATGCAGCAGTTACACGGATGGAGAGGTGGTGGTTTTCAAAATTCGACTCCGCCTTGGCACGGCGCAAATTCGTCTGAATTGACCACGACATTTGCATGGATAGCGGGGGTTGTTTTCAAAACGGGGCTCTCGTTTTCGCGCCGCGCACGTTCGCCCCAACACCATGCACACACAGGGATGGACGGCTGATTCCTCTCCGAAATAAGGCTTTCGCCTACGCGCCGCGAGCATTGGCTTTGAACGTCTTACGCAATGATAATGGTAGGGGTGCGGGTGGGTGGGTGGGTGGTTTTCAAACTGGGGTTGTCGCCCTGGCGCCCCGCACATTCGTCCCACACAGCTTGCAACGGTTACGCGGACGAATTGGTGTCGTTTTCAACATCAGGCTCTTGCCTTGGCGCTGCGCGCATTCGCATTTTCATGTTGCTGCACTTACCAGGACGGAAGGCGGTGGTTTTCAACATGGGGCTTTCGCCTTAGCGCCGCGCACACTCGCCCCAACAGTGTGCAACAGCTGCAAAGATGGGCGACTGCTCCTTTTTGGAATGGGGCTCGTGCTGGAGCTTTCTTAATGATCAGAGGCAGTGAAATTCAACATGTGTAATTGCTGGATGTCGTGCGGCTCCTCTCCATGGAGTTCACGACCAGAAGTGTAAACTTGTGCAACATGTGCGCGGTGTAATTGTTTCTGTCGCGAGTGGGGGGCTCGCCGCACCCCGCGTGGAACAGTATGATCGTACCTTTTCGCTGTCCCGAGCTGTCGCTTGCAGGATGCCAGGCCGTTTCTGTTTAAAGCGGGGCTTTGGCCTGACTGGCAGGCGCTGCTCCTTACACGGGGCGCCTCTTGCAGTGACACTGAAGGATTGTATGGACTCAGAAGGAGGGCACTTGGAGCGGGCGGGATTGACATACTTTGGGTTCACTCCGGTCCTCCTGCTGCTCCTCCTGCCACTCCTTTCTCCTTTCTATCCTCCTCCTCCTCCTGCTCCTGCTCCTCCTCCTCCTCCTCCTCCTCCTCCTCCCCTCCCACCTCCTCCTCCTCCTCCTTCCCTTCTTCCTCCTCCTCCTCCTCCTCTTCCTCCTCCTCCTCCTCCTCCTCCCCTCCTCCTCCTCCTCCTCCCCCTCCTCCCATCTCCTCCTCCTCCTCTTCCTCCTCTCCTCCTCCTCCTCCTCCTCCGCCTCCTCCTCCCCCTCCTCCTCCTCCTCCTCCTCCTCCTCCTCCTCCTCACTGCCTCCCCTTCCCCTCCTCCTCCTGCTCCTCCTCCTCTCCTCCTTCTCCTCTCCTCTTCCTCCTCCTCCCTCCTGCCTCCCTCCTCCCTCCTCCCTCCTTCCTCCTTCCTGCTCCCTCGTCGTCCTCGTCGTCGTCCTCGTCGTCGTCCTCGTCGTCGTCGTCCTCCTCCGCATCCTCCCGAACTCCCGTCGCCATGTTTTTTTCGCAACGTCGACCCCCTGAGGGCTCGACCCATTCTCTGGGACCGGTTTTTCATCCAGAGTTGTTTTTTCCCCACATCCTAAATGGGGTTCCTGTTTTCTCAGGATACCTCCGAGCAGGAACGAAAGAACACCTCACCCTTCCCTCCTCTCCTCCTTCCACACTCACCATCACACCAACGTCACCATCACTACCACCATTCCACCATGATCATTATCATGCCTCCACCTCAGCTAGGTGATCCGAGCGGGTCATCCAACACCTCCACCGTGTCACTTTTGGACTCGTCAGGTCTGATTTCGGAAATAGGTGAATGGTGAGGAAGTCTCGAGAGGGATCCTCGTCAGTGAGTGAATCGCGACGACATTTCGAGCGGGAGCCTCCTCCCGACGGGGCCCGCACCTCATGCCAATAATCCGAGGCGGCCATCCTCTAACCTGTAACCGTCGTCACTTGTGGGGCTCCTGCCGCTTGAAAAAATACAGACGAAGACTCGAGCGGAAACCTAGTCTGTGAATGGGACGCGAGGAAGTCTCGAGCGGGAGCCTCTTCCCTATGGGGCCCGCTCCTCATGTTAGTAATCCGAGGCGGCCAACCTCAAACCTGTAACTGCCGTCACTTTTGGGCTCCCAGGGCTTGAATCTCGAGGAAGTCTTGAGCGGGAACCTCGTGTGTGAGTGAGACGCGAAGAAATTTCGAGCGGGATCCTCCTCCCGACGGGGCCCGCGCTCTATGCCAGTACAATGGAGGCCAGTCGACAAGAAACCTTCCACGAGAAACCCAACCCTGAGACCCCAGGACGTCCATGGGTTTTTTGGTGTGGGAACGTCACGCTCTCCATAGCAAAACCATCGAAACCCAAGAAACCCAGGGCTCCCTGGAGGCAAGCAAGGTGTTTCTTGACATGGGCCTCCACTGTAATCCAAGGCGCGTCCTCAAACCTGTACTTGTCGTCATTTGAGCTCCCCAGGCTTGAATATCGGGTAAGTCTCGAGCGGGAGCCTGTCTGTGAGTGAATCGTGAGAAAGTCTCGAGCGGGAACCCTTGCAATAGGGACGGGGTGGAGGTGGATGAGGGAGAAGAGGCAAGAACACAACGAGGAGGCAGAGCAGGGGTCGGGAGGAAGGCCCCCGCCAGGACGAAAAGGAGAAGGGCGATGCGGCGAAAGGAAAAGAGCCTCCGAAGCCACAAGAACGACGATGAAGACTACTCCCGGATTGTTGACAGTCCTGGGGTACGGATTCCGAAAATAGCAAAACACCTTCCGCGTTTTTTTTTTTTTCACGACGCGATGGGGCCCTGGGCCCGTCGACGATGACGACGGGCGACGACGACGACGGCGGCGGCGACGACGACGGCGGCGGCGGCGGCGGCGACGACGACGACGACGACGGCGGCGGCGGCCGCCTGCGGGGCGGTGGCGCCGGCGGGCCGCGCCGCCGCCGCGCAGAGGGCGGCGCGCGCGAAGGCGCCGGCGGGCCCGGCCGCGCGCGAGGGCCGCGGCCGGGCGGGGGCGCCATGGCGGCCCAGGGGCGGGAAGGAACGGAGGCCAGCGAGGGGGGGAAGGGAGGGGGCAAGGAGGAGGGAGGATGTGGAGTGTACGGGAGTAGCTGCGTGGAATACAGAGAGACACGAAGTACAAGTAGGGGGACCCGTGCTATGGGAGAGCACGTTCTCTTTCCTTTTACGGGGGCTGGGGCTCGCCCGTCGGCTGCGCGCCAGGTGAATCAAGTGCCCTTTTGAGCCACAACGGCGGCACACAAGGGATTGCAGAGAGAGGCGCAGGAGGAGGAGAGGCTGACGTGGGCATGACAACCGCAGCTCCTACCTTTCTTGCAGCCGAAACGCCGCCTCGCCTCAGTCCGTGAACTTCCGCTTATAATGCTCGAAAGCCGTGGCCACTCAGATCCCGTAGCCATCTTTCGTAGTCCCGAAGCGTCTGTGACGTACAGCCGGTACAGCTACGCGAACACGTAGGTCTTGATAACGTCTCTAGGAGAAATCCATGAAGAGATTTTCGATCCTGGCCCCATGAGATCTCCAGATTTTTCTTCATCCGCAGCTTGCCCCATCTCGTCCATGAAGCTCTGGGGCTCGTTTCCGCGGGAGTCGTGCTGTGAGCCAGTTCGCTCCAGGTAGCGGACTACTGCGCTGATCTCTTTGGACCATTGAAAAACCCATCTCTCGTGCTTGAGGATCTGCTTGCCCTCGAGAATCGCTAGGTCGGAGGAGGAGGAGGAGGAGGAGGAAAAGGAGGAGGAAGAGGAGGAGGAGGAGGAGGATGGGGAGGAAGAGGTGATGAGGAGGAGGAGTATGGGAGGAGGAGAAGCATGAGGAGAGAGGAAGAGGAGAGAAATTGAGTTGAGGATAAAGGGAGGGCAGGAGGAGGAGAAAGGGAGAGGGGGGGGGGGGGGAAGGAGGAGGAGGAGGAGGAGGGAGGAGGAGAGCAGGAGCAGAGGAGGAGGAGGAGGAGGAGGAAGGAGGAGGAGGGGGAGGGGAGGAAGGAGGAGCAGGAGGAACAGGAGCAGGAGGAGGAGGAGGAGGAGGAAGGAGAGGAGGAGGAAGGAGGAGGAAAAGGAGGAGGAAAAGGAGGAGGAGGAGGAGGAAGCGGAGGAAGGGAGAGGAGGGAGGAGGAGTGAGGAGGAGGAGGGAGCATGAGGAGAGGAGGAGAGGAGGAGGAGAAGGAGGAGGAGAAAGGAAGGACAGAGGAGGAAGGAGAGGAGGAGGGGAGGAGAGGAGGAGGAGGAGGAGGAGGAGGAGGAGAGGAGGGAGGAGGAGGAGGAGAGCGAGGAGCAGTGTGCCAGCGGGGCAGGCCGGCGCGGGATGGTGCGGGAGGCCCCCTGAACCAGTCGAGAAGCGGTTCGGTGTGTGGAGCATGGAAGGAAGAGCAGGCGAACGGCCTGTGTGGTTGCGGACAGGGCCTGTGTGATTGCAGACAGAGCCTTCGGGAGTGCCTCTGAAGAGGATGGGTCGTTCTCTCCCTCCCTTTTCTTACCCCCATCTCCGTCCTTCCCTACTTGTTCCCATCTCCTTCCTTTCCTCCCTCCATTTCTCCCTCCATGCTCCTCCTCCTGTGCCTGTAGCTGTTGGCTTTGGTGTCCTCCTCCTCCTCCTCCTCCTTCTCCTCCCTCCTTGTCCTTCTGCTGCTGTTGCTGCTGCTGCTCCGCCTCCTCCTCCTCCTCCTGCTGCTGCTGCTGCTGCTGCTCTCCTTGTCCGTATCCTCCGCTCCACCTCCGCCTCCTCCTCCTATTCCTCCTTGTTCGTCTTCTCCTCCTCCTCCTCCTTCTCCTCCTCATCGTCCTCCTCCTCTTCCTCCACCTCCCTCTCCTCTTCCTCCTTCTTTGCGCCTGGCGCCAGGCTAAGCGATCCCAACACCTCAGCCCGCGCGCGCCCGCGCCCCGCACGGCGGCGGGCTGGCAGGCCCGAGGTGCGCCGAACCCACGCTGGAGCTCGGTTGTTCTAGACTGGGGGGTGGAGGGGGGAGGGGGGGAGCTCTCTCTCCAGAGGGGGAGGCACTCGGTGGCCCCGGTGTCCAAGGCCCAAGCAGTGATTGCAACAGGGCAACCGCCCCAGAGGTCACAGGGGGCCGCGTGCGGCCCATCAGATCCACGACGCAAACAGACTGTTAGGTTTCCAGCGTCGACCCCAAACGAGCGGCGGCACTCTCAATTCACGTCGTCGTCTGGCTTCAGGCTGGCACCCGCCCGGTCTGGCATCGCAATGAATGGCTCGGGCACCAAAGGTGGCCGTGGTTCTTGAACTACGTTCGTCATGCTCCAATCCAGGACTGTGATTGCTGTAGTAGCAGCAGCAAATTCCACAGGAAGCTTCACCTTTGCGGCTTCCGCCAGCTTATAGCCTTGCATACCGTGGAATCTCGGCCGTCCTTCCATCGGACCGTAATCAGCAGGGCGTCGATCTGTATCACTACGCAATCGACGTACCTCTTGCCGAGCTTTGCCTCGACTGTATACCCATGGTTATCGGCCGCTTCCCCTGGGGTTCCCGACTGCGGTGGTACTCATTCGCCTCGTTGTTTCCGAGCTTCTCAACAGCCAGATCCCAGATCACTTCGTTGATGTTCTGAGCGGGGCCATGCCTATTTTACCCTTCGCGTCTTGCCAAGGCTGCTCCAGTAACTGCTGGAGATGTGCTTCTGTGTGCTTTCTTTGCGAACCGTAGTTCTTGAGCCTAGGCCTGTGGCTCTGCCTGTAGATCCAGTCGTGAACTGCCCGCTCAACTTCATGGTCGCCCTGCTGCGTCGTAGCTGACGGTGTTCAGCCCACAGTGCGCGCTCCACTGCCTGTCCTTCTCGTGCCAGCTGGTCCGAGCTTGTAGCTGACGACGTCTGGTACCCAGGTCTCGCATCGCCTTTTGTTGCCACCGAGGGAACTTCTCGCATACGCTGTGACCAGTCCGTGCATGATGATGTCTGATCTTATACATTTCTCGCAACACTGTCTGCTCTCCCTGCCAGCACGTCTGGTATCCAGCACATGCGACGCCGTCTGGCGCCACTGCCAACCTTTCTCGCCCGTTCTGGTTCGCGCATGTAGTTGGTGGTGTCTGGTATTCTTGCGCCGCGCCGCTGTCTGCTGCAATTGCTGGCGCATTTCGCATACGCTGCTGCCAGTCTGTAGCTGATGACGTATGTTTTTTTGTTCACAGTTCTTGTGACTCCGCCTGCTGCTGCCGCTGCCCGCTCTTCCCGCACGCTCCCGTTCGAGGCTGTAGCTGATGACGTTGAGCATCCATCCCTTCCCATGTCGTCCGCTGCCGCTGCCAATTTCTCCCGCCCACTCTTGTCCGTGCATTTCGACGATAATGTCTGGCATCCAACTCTCGTGCCGCTGTCTCCAGCCACTGCTGCCGGCGCTTCTCGCGCACGTTTCTGCCACTATGTAGGTGGTGACGTTAGTCTATGTATGTATGTATGTATGCATGCATGTATGTATGTATGTATGTATGTATGTATGTATGTATGTATGTATGTATGTATGTATGTATGTATATATGTATATGTATGTATATATGTATGTATGTATGTATGTATGTACGTACGTCGTTATGTATGTATGTATGTCTGTATGTATGTATGTATGTATTTATGTATGTCTGTATGTGTGTATGTATGTCCGTCTGTCTGTCTGTCTGTCTGTCTGTCTGTCTGTCTGTCTGTCTGTTTGTACGTATGTATGTATGTGTATCTATATACCTTTATATATATATGTATAAATATGTCATTGTAACAACGCCTGCTGCCACTGCCAGCTCTTCGCGCACGCTCTGGTTCCGGATTGTAGCAGATGGCGTCTGGCACCCAGATCCTGCCACGTCGTCTGCTGCCACTGCCAAACTTTCTCGCGCATGCTGGTTTGCGAACGTAGCTGATGACGTCTGGCCTCCAATTCACGCACAGCTGGCTGCTGCCATTGCCGGCGTTCCTCGCACACGCTGCTGCTGGTCTGTGGCTGATGACGTATGGTCTTCTGGCGCCCCTCATCTGCCGCTCCTGCTGCCGCTGTCCACCTCTTTCGCGCGGGTCGGTGTCAGGCGCTATCCACAGCTGGGGGTGTCCACCTTCTTATTCCCCACCTCTACCACTGTCCACTTTCTCCCAAGGACAAGCCTCTGGATACTCCTTCTTGTTCTTCTCTGGGCCCTCCACCTTCTCCTCTTCCCCGATGCCGTCCTCCATCTCCGTCTGAGCCTCCTCTGCGTATCCCCAATTTTCTCGACCAGTACTTTCGATGTCGAAAACCTCTTGAAGTGGCTGCGTCTGACCACGCTATTGCGGCCCGACCATCGGGGCATCGATTCTGACCGGACTATACGTGGGCGCGTCAGCTCACAAGGTACCACGCTGGACGCCCTCTGTCTGCCTGGGGGGCTTCGACAATGACCCGCGGTGGAGCATTATGCTCAGGTCTTTCGAGTCCCGCACACGTATGCGTTTTCCTCTGCTAGCCGTGTGTGCTACACGAGAAACCGCATTGCCTAGCTGTCTCGACACTCGTCAGGGTGCCGATTTCTCTGCAAAAGCCATCTGGACGCGCGCTCGCGCACGCGCGCGCTGAGGCCGACCCCCCTCTGGGTCCCATCGCGGTGGCGCGGGGGCCAGAGGCCAGAATGGCCTTCCTCCTCCTTTTCCTCCTCCTCCTCCCTGTCCCCCTCTCCCTGTCTCCCCGTGTCCCCATCCCCCTCTTTCTTTCTCTCTTTCTCCCTCCTCCTTCTCCCTCTGTCCGGCTTCCTTATACACTCTCCTCGTCGTACCACCAGATACGTCACCAGGGCGAGCCGGGCGCTCCTGCTAAGACCTCCTCGCCGTTTGTAATCCTGAAACTTGGGTCTTCCAACGGTTGCCCGAATGGAGGGTCGACCCCTCTCAAAATTTGGCTGGTGCCTCGGCGCCGCGCATGTTCGCCTTTAACAAACTCAACAATTACTCGGATATGTTGCGGGCCATTAGCAGAAGCCGGCTCGCGTCTGAGCGCCCGTCACGTCCGTCTAAGCAATTTCGAACATATACATGGGAGGACGACGAATAATTGTCAAGCTGTGGCCATCGCATTAGCGCCGCGCGCATCCGCTTCCAAATATCCGAACACATAAGTGTGATGACGGCGGATGCTTTTTAAGCTGTGGCTCTTGCCGCAGCGCCTGGCACATCCGTCTTGCACGTTCCCACCAACTACACGCACGGAGGGCGGCCCGTCTTGAACATCGAGTGACCGCTGCGGACCTCCGCATACGCCATGCCTGAAACAGTTTGCAGCAATTCAACGGATGGAGGGCGGTTGCAACCGTTTCACATGTGGAGGTCGTTTTTGTGGTGGTTGTGGTTGTTGCTGTTTTCTTTGGTTTTGTTTTCTCTCCCCCCAAAGTGGGACTCTCGCTGGACAGTTCCCTGACCCGTATGATTCTACATCCTCACCTGCCTTAAAGCTGAAAGCGACCAAGGGCGGCTGGCTTTCAAACAGGGGCTCTCGTCTGAATGGCGGGCTTCTGGGACACTCGTGTTTCGGGGGTCGCTTCCAGCAGCGACATGGAAATCATCGGGGACTTCAGAGGAGGGCACTTGGGGCGGAAGGGTGTCTTTTGTAGCATCGTCGGTGCATCTTGGGCTTACTCCAGTCCTCCTCCTCTCTCCTCCTCCTTCTCCTCCTCCTCCTGGTGCTCTCCCTCTTCCTCGCTCCGCGCTCCTCCTCCTCCTCCTCGCTCCGCGCTCCTCCTCCTCCTCCTCCTCCCTCTTCCTGCTTTCCTTCCTCCTCCCTCGTCCCCCCACGCGCGCGCTCCCTGCGCGCACGCGTGAGGCAGGCAGGGGGCAGGGTCGACACAGTGTCTTCGAAGAGCATCTTCGGGTGGGAGCAGGGGGGAGCAGGCAGAGGAGGGTTGAATCTCATGCAGGGAGCGAGGGCCTCCCAAGGATGACGAGGACGGGGAGGAGCGGGAAGGAGGAGAGGAGGATGGTGAGGGATGACGAAGAAAGAGACGAGAAGAAGGAGGAGGTGAGGGGCGAGGGCGATGGGGAGGACGAGGAGCAGCAGCAGGACTGGCCATTGGGGCAGTGGCGCAGTTACAACGAGGAGGCGGAGGGCACCAATACATCGGAGGTCGACCAAAGTCCCCCGCGACGTGGAAAACTACGGCTGGAGCTCGGGGGACAAAAACACACACAAAGAGCCAGACATGGGGATGCGGAAAAACGACAGACACACAGAGCTCGAGATGAGGATGCGGAAAACACACACACACCTGGGTGTGCCTTTTCCGCATCCCCATGTCCAATGTTTTTTTTTTCCGCAGCCTCATCTCCAGACCCCTGCCGTCGTGCACGACTTCTCGAGCCGGACTGGCCCGACAAGTCTCTCGGGGCCAGAAGGGGGCGGAAAACGCCTGTCGCGAGCCGTTGCCCGCGGCGCCCAGACGCCACGGGAGGGTGGGAGGCGAGGGGGGACGGCGCGCCAGGTGCGCTCGCGCCATCTCTGACATCCTGTCACTCCCTTCCATCCCTTCTCGTTGCGCTGTTTTTCTTAATCGGCTGCCGCGTGTCGTTGCCGATCTGGAGCTCCACAAGAGACGGGAAATTCTTCCCCCTCTCCTGGGTCCGGGTGTGGAGCACCCAATCGGGGCGCGCTGTGGCCGCCACCCTGGGCAGGTGGCAAGCGTGGAGTTGCTCCAAGTAGGGCTCTGGCAGTTGAGCAAGTTCCGCTCCCTCCTCCCCCCCGTCGTTCTCGTTCTGCTCCCTCTCCTTCTCGTTCTTCATCCTTCCCTTCCCTCGTCCGCTTACCCGCCTCGCTCGCGCGCTTCCTGACGACTGGTGATCCCGAAAGGGCTGCCGATTCCAAGAGGGAAAAAAGTACGGTGACAAGCCTCAACCGAATCCTTCTCCTCCCCCTCCCCCTGGCCCCCCGCGGCTGTCTATCTCCTCCTTCCCCCGCCTCCCCTTCCCTCCTCTTCCTCCTCCTTCTCCTCCTCCTCCTCCTCCTCCCCCTCCTCCTCCTCTCAGTCTTCCTCCTCCTCCTCGTCCTTCTCCTCCTCCTCCTCCTCCTCCTCTCCTCCTCTCCCCTCCTCCTCCCCCTCCCCCTCCCTCCTCCTCCTCCTCCTCCTCCTCCTCCTCCTCCTCCTCCTCCTCCTCTCTCCTCCTCTCCTCCTCCCCCTCCTGCTTCCCCTCTCCTCCTCTTCCTCCTCCTCCTCCCTGCTCCTCCTCCTCCTCCTCCACCTCCTCCTCCTCTCCTCCTCCTCCCTACTCCTCCCCACTCCTCCTCCTCCCTCCCTCCTCCTTCTTCCTCCCCCTCCTTCCCTCCCTGCTCCTCCTCCTTCTCATCTTCTTCCTCCTCCTCCTCCTCCTCCTCCTCCTCCTCCTCCTCCTCCTCCTCCCTCTTCTACCCTCTCCTGCCCCCCTCCTCTCCTTCTCTGCCTTGATCCTCCTCCTTCTCCTCCTCCTCCTCCTCCTGCTCCTCCTCCTGCTCCTCCTCCTCCTCCTCCTCCTCCTCCTCCTCCCCCTCCTCGTCTCCCCTCCCCCCCCCTTTAGGGCCTCTGGAGCCTCGGAAAAGGTCAATCCCGCAGCGCGCCGTACGAAAGCTGGAAAGGATGGATCTGTGCGGACTCGGGGGGGGGGTCAGTGGACAGGGAAAAGGCCGCCCAACTAACCAGTCAGTTGTCGCGTTCACCCTCGCCCTGAGCGGCTCAAGGGCTCGCGCCTCCCACGCCCCTGGTCCTGACGGCGGGCAGCGGGCGGCAAGTCCTTTGGCCTGCCCCGTCGCGTGCGCCCCGCATTTGCTGCAGTAGTGCGTGTCGCTCGCTATCCACATTCTGTGGGATTCGTGAGACTTGCTTACAATCTTGGGGGCCCCAGGGCACGAATGATGCACGATCCGCGCGTCCGACGGCCCACGAGGTCCCCCAGCAAATGGACGAGGTGACCATTGTCACCCTTTACAGGTCGGATGCTAGGCACGAGCTGTCCTGCATCATCTACTTTCGGGGGCTCGGCTTTGAGCTTCCGAAATTTAGTTACATTAGGGTACCCTACACGGCTCAGTTGGTACAGCGTGCCTTCCATCATCCGAGTGAAATGCTGAGCGTGCACCTCAGCACTCCTCAATCGGTCCTGAAGGTGAGGGGCCCTGGGATGTCGGGGGGCACCTTTCTTTGCATTTTGTCTGCGCAGGTGTTGCCAGGTAGCCGGCGATCGGGGTAACCTTTGTCTATGAGCCAGGATCCTTTGTCTATGAGCCACGAGCGATCACGGTGCAACGGTATCCAGACGAACTGGACGTTCTCTGCTCACGCCTGTCAATTTCCGAAAGATCAGCCTCCAAATCTCAGACTATGGCCGGGACGGGCCACGCAATATTTCAAACTCTGTGTCCAAGCCCTTGACGGAATTCTGGTGGTCCGTTACAAGTGTGGCACGGGTGCTCATGACGCAAAGCGCATGTAGAGCGCGTTGTGCTCTGACATACCTGCTGACTGAACCGGTCCTGGAACTGGTCCGTGCGCAACTGCCTCTGCCGCTTCCCTGGGTCCAGGAGCCAACAGAATCGCAGCCCAGCCAGAGCGAGTTTGCCAATCCACCGTGGGGTCCTTACCGGGCCCGTCGATGAAGATTTCGTCCGCAAGATATCCAGAGGCATCAGAGTATCCAGGGCCCCAGAAAGACGCTGGAACCCCCTCGCTTGCTAAAGAAGTCGCCCCGAGCTCCGCGAGCAGGCGCTCTTCTGCGTCGTGGTGTATGGAGTGAAGCTCTTGAAACCCTCGGTCTCGCCGCCGCGCAGCAAGCCCATCGCGTGTATGCAACCTGTGGCCTATGGTCCCTGGGGCTTGCTGGCACCAAAGACAATCGGGATTCATTTCGTACCTTTCCGAAGAAAAAAAGCCTCGACTGGGTCAAGAGCCCTCCAGCCACGTGCGCCGCAACTAAATCGACCTGGATGTCCTCCCCCCTTCCTCTCACCCTTCGAAGCTCGCCTCGAATCGGGTCATATGAGGGAACTCCAATCCAGCCGGGGTGCTTTGCGGCTTGCTGTTCTTGGCTGCTGAACCATGCGGTGAACCAGGGCCTTTAACGTGCGGGTTCCCAACTTAGCGAGGTCCGCGTGCAAGCCCTGGGCCCCCCCCCTCAGTGTGCGCAGTCTATAACAGTCCACCCAGTCGTCCGAAGTGTCTGAACCACAGCCCCAGCTGGTCCGTTGATTGCGGCCCAGCCCAGGTGGCAGGCCGAAACAGCAGCGCGAAAAATGGTCTGCATGATCCTATCTGCGATCCACTGCTGGTGCGACGCCAGCAGTCGTGTGCCGGGCGGGAGGGCGTCGATGAGGTGGGAGGGGTCGAGATCGGGGGGGGGGGGAGGGGCGGCTAGGAGATACTGCGCGGCCCGAGACCTTCCTTTGGCTCTGACAGACAAGGCGTATCCAGCGACCGCTCGGATACCCCAAAGACCCGAGTCATTCATCCTCAAGACGCGGGCCGCAGATGTGACTGCTGCAATGCCGCCGCCGCGAACAACTCGAGTAGATCCCCGCTTGTGGTGCTTCAGCGACCGGAACGATCAGCCCGCTGCTGAACTCCCCAGTCCCGTTTCTCTGACGTCGTTCTCTTCATCCTAGCCTGCGTACCAAAGTCGTGGCCCAGGCCCTTAATCGAGTCACTAGCCCTGAGATGATACTGTGCCAGCGCGGCCCGAGACGACTGCGCCAGCTTGCTGCGCGACGCTACGGGCTGGCACTTCCTGCGCGAGATGACCATGCCTGGCTTCCAGCCTGGGGCATGACTGCGGTAGTGCTATGGAGAGTGTACTGCGTACAGATCTCATCGAACCGATCGCCTCGCAGAAAGCCCGGCCGGGGTCCAATTCTCCTTCATATACATCAGGGAGCGCCGCAGGAGTCATGCAACAACTCTCATCAATGTGGTATCACAGGTACATCCTGCAATGGTAGATCTCGTGAACTGTGCTTGTCGGGCGCTGCATCCTTTGTCATTCTGCGCCTGGGTCCGTCATGCACCTCGAACAATCGTCGCGTCCAGCGTAGGTTGGATTTGTGCAAGACACATGCGCGCCGTAATGCATCGCGCGAGATCTCTCCGTGCCATGTCTCCATGTCGACGAATGCCAGCGCGGATGAAGTTCCTAATGCCTTTGCTGCTTCACCTGCAGCTGCTCGTTGCCATCTAGCTCGCTCGCAGCCTTGCCCTTTAGTTTCGAAGGCGCAATCGAGGTGGTGTGCGGGCCCCCGTTGGCTAGCTTAATCCCGCCAGCCCTTTGGGCGACAAGTGGTCTAAGGAGGGGTCTCTTTCCTCTTCCACAGCCCCTCTTCCCTTCCGGGAGGGGGGCACTCCCCCCCCTCTCCGGATTTTTTTTTTGAAGGGCCGCGAGGTGTCAGAGGGTCCTTTTTTCTGCCCCTGGGAGGGCCAATTTTGGACACCCCTCGCGGGTGTCGTCGTGGCCCTCGAGGGGGGGGGGGGGGGGGGGGGTATGAAGCGCCACCCCTCTGTTGGCCGGCCGCCTCCAAGATGGCCCCGAGAGGCCCTCCAGGGCCCCCGAGAGGCTCGCGAGAGGGCCCCGAGAGCGCACCAGGAAGCCCTGAGAGGCCTCCAAGAGGCGCCCGAAAGGCCTCCAAGAGGCCCCGAGCGGCCTCAAAGAGCTCAAGATGATCTCCAAGATGGCTCAGATTGCCCAAGCTGGCTCAGTAGTGCTCCTAAGATGCTCCAAACGGCCCCGAGACCGTTCCAAAGCGGCTCGCGATGGCCAGGAAGCCCCCCGAGCCCCCCTTGCTGTTTGACTATGCGCGTCTCTTTCTCCCCCCCCCCGTCAACTCTGATGGGCGTCGTTTTTGGCAGGGCTGTCGGGTATGCACGAAGTGTCGAGAATATCTCCGAATCTCTCCAAGAACGCAGATCGCCGTTGTCGAGATGCCTTCGGGCCGAGACTCTCCATCAGCTTCTTTCCCAGACAAAACCCGGAGCACATGGTTGCGCTGCGCTGGGATCAGGGGGTGCGATTCTACGCGCGAGAGAAGCTGGCAGTGCGCTGTGAGCCCCTCGCCACTCAAGAGCTTGAGCGATGCCTGGCTGCGCCCGTCAATGCCGACTGCCGTATCCTTCTTGAACTCCTTGAGGCCCTCTCTGAACTGGTTCAGGGTGGGTGCTGGTGGCCCCCCTCCCAGAGGGGTGCTAGATGCCCGGCAGGTGGGCTACTGGGCGTGCCCTCGTGCCACATGAATTTCTATTCCTCTATCAGCTGGTCTATCATATCTGTTCGCCCAGCAAGTCCCCCATGTAGCCCGCGGGGTCTGGGGCTCAACCTATAGGTTCCTGAGTATATCGATATGCAGCCTCCTCCTCCTCTGCTAGTTGAGTCAGTGACCCATTGCCTCCGTTCCTCATCTTAGCCCGACGTGCGCAATACTAGTCAATATCAACGAACGCCTGAATCTGGCGGCCGATCTCCGCCGGGTTATCGGGCTCGACGCCTTCCCCTGGCACTTGCGCGGGATGGAGAAGCTGTCGCCCTGGGCCCTGATCAAAAGGAGTATGAACACTGAGAATCTTGGCGGCAATGCCCCGGGCCCCTCTGGAGTCCCACCTGTGGTCCTTTCTCCTCAAAAGACGGACCTCCTCGACCCAGGCGGCCATCTTCTGAAAAGGCTCTGGGGGCCAAGGTGCGCTTTGGATGCGGGCCCTTGTCGTGCTATAGAACTGGCTGCGAAAGAATTCTGCGCCCAACTCCTCTGCCAAAGTGCGGGGCTCGATCTGCTTCCTGGCTGCCGCGCGCGTCGCGCAGCTCGTGCTCCATCGTGCTGCGCATGTCCGCGCAGATAATATGATGCTCGGTGGCCGTGGGGCGCGAGTTGAAGTCCTGATGCCTGTGAGCAAATCGAACTCCAGTTCCCTGGGGGTGGTCGGGGTCCCATCGCATCGCGCATCTCGGGAAGGGTTTCCAAAACTTTAAGACCTGCTTGACCTGCTGGTTGATGGGCCTCGGTCCCTGCGACGAGCTCCACAGGGTAATGTGTCATATTCTCCGAGTCCTCGATGCGCTTGCAAATCTGGGCGGATCCGACCTAGTCGTGCGAGACGACGAACAATCTAACTGTCTCCAGGACTCTCCTACTCTGCCATTGGGTTTCGCGCCATCGTCAACCCCCTCGCAACTTCCCGACTATCGGAACTTTCTGGACTTCACTCCGAGCCGAGTTGAAAGCAGCAGCGACGACAAAAGGCTTCTTGGCAGCAAAGAAGAATTCACCCACCTGATTCAACATCTGCCTCTCTTTCATCCCTCGACCCCTTTTCCATCAGGAAAGTATCTTCTTATCAAGTAGAAGCCACCCCGAACTCGCCATTGACCCAAACGATCGTGCTGCGCGGGTTGACCATGTCTGTGGTGCCCGACAGCCCCGCCAACACCGACGTGATGCTTGATGGCGACGCCGACACCTGCTGAAACGCTTTCCTGCGGGGTCTTAGATGCCCCCGAAAGACGCAGCCTCCCTCTTCACTCGACATGGACGACTGCTTCTGGGAAGTACTGCGTTTCGAAACTTAGCACTCCTGGAGACAAGCAGCATGGGCACTCTTGATGTAGTCGTCTGTGGGTAGACGCATCGTCCAGCTCCACCCTTCACGATACGCCGTGTAAATGCTGTACTAGATGAGGTAAGTGGCGGCCGCTGATGGCCGTCATTCGCTCCTGCATCACGAGCTTGGCTAGGAAAAGCGGCGGGGGATACACCGTACCAGTCTCGCTCTTCTTGCCGCCCTTGGCGGGGAGGTTGGGCGCCTTCTCGCGGAGCTCCGCACCTTCACCACGTGCGCCCGTGCTGGCACCAGCTGCTGGTTCAGGCTGTGGTTGACCTTCACCTGGTTTCGCCTCAGCCTGCTGTCTCCCCCCCCCCCCCCCCCCTCCCCCTCCTCCCGCTTCTCCTCTCGGACTCCTCCTCCTCCTCCTCCTCCTTGTTCCTCCTCCCGCCCTCCCCCCCTCCCCCTCTTCCTCCTCCTCCTCCTCCTCCTACCGCCTCGCCTCCTCCTCCTCCTCGTTCCTCCTCCTCCTCCTCCTGCTCCTCTGGCCATTGGACTCTACGAGCACCCAAGCCGCCCAAGCCGCCCAGCGCCCGTGGGGGGAGCGGCGCGGACGCTCAGGTTGAAGCGGTCGACCCGGCCTGGCACCCAGCTGACGCGGACCGTGTGGAGCAGCACGTCGCTGGCGGGCGAAAGCGGCCACGACGACGACGACTACGACTTCGACGAAGGCGACGACGACGGCTGCGGCGACGACCTCGGCGCCGCCCTCGACGACACCGTGACGACGCCCTCGACGACGCCGACCGGCCGCCGCGGCGACGACGGCCCAGCGTTCCATCCCCGATCCTGGGTGGGGTGGTGAGGAGAATCGCGTCGTGAGGAGAATCTCGTCGCGACGGGTAGCCTCAAGCCTCAAGATTTTGGACTCTTTCGACCTCCGGGGGCCCTCGCCAGGCCAAGGAACAATAACTTGAGGGATCCACTAACCCGGCAAGGAACTTTAGTCACACTTTCTTATGACGCGCGTGCAACACTTTCCTTTTGCCTGGCTGCAACCACTACGTCCTGCATGTCCTGCTTATCCTACGCCTCCTCCTCCTCCTTCTCCTGCTCATCCCCACCCTTGTCTTCCTCCTCCTCCTCGTCCTCCTTCCTCCTCCCTCCTTCCTCCTTCTCGTCATCATACTTCTACCTCCACATTCCTTCTCCCCATCGTCATCTCCTTCCTGCACGGCGGCGCCAGTGTATGTTTAAAGAATCCGGCGCGACCAAATGGGGTCCCCCCCTGGAGGCCATGGATACGTAGAAATACATGCCCCGCGCTCACGCGCCAGGCCCACGTTACCCCCCCCTCCGCGCACGAATTTCCACGCGTAAAGAATCCGACGCGCCCAAATTGGGTCCCCCCCTTGGGGCCGTGCACGTGTAAAAACAATTTGCTCCGCGCGCACCTGCCAAACGCATGTTGTGTCCCCCCTTCCGCGCGCGTATTTTCACGGGCCCCAGTCGGGTCCCCCCCCCTGGGGGCCGTGGACACGTGAAAATACATGCCCCGCGCGCGCGTGCCAGGCGCATGTTGGGTTCCAACCGCCCCCAAGTTGGGTCCCCCCCTGGGGGCCGTGGGCATGAACAAATACGTGCCCCGCGCGCAAGCGCCAGGCGCATGTAGACCCGCTCTCCGCGCACGTATTATCCCGTGTGAGAAATCCGACGCGCCCAAGCTGGGTTCCCCTGGAGGCCGTGGACACTTGAAAACACCCCGCGCGCGCACGCACCAGGCGCATCTGGGTCCCCCCATCCGCGCAAGTATTGTGTAAAAAACCTAGCGGGCTGCATATTGGGCCCCCCCCGCGCCCAATTTTGGTTCCCCCTGGGGGCCGTGGACGTGTGAAAATGCATGCCCCGCGCGCGCGCTCCAGGCGCATGCTGGGTCCCCCCCTCCGCGCACGTATTCCGTATTCTTCTGGAGGCCGTGGATACGTGTAAATAGATGCCCCGCGCGCACGCACCAGGCGCATGTTGGGTTCCCCCTCCGCGCACGCATTTTCACATGTAAAGAATCTGGCGAGCTCAAGTTGGGTTCCTCGCTGGGGGGCTGTCAGCACTTGAAAATAAATTCACCGCGCGCACGCGCCAGGCGCATGTTGGGTCCCCCCTCTGCGCGCGTATTTTTAGTGTGACAGATCCGGCGGGCTGAATTGCGTCCCTCGCTGCGGGGGCTGTGAACACTTGAAAGTACGTGCCCCGCGCGCACGCGCCAGGCGCATGATGGCCCCCTCTCCGCGCACGAATTTTTCCGTGTGCGAAATCCGACGCGCCCAAGCTGGGCCACCCCTGGAGTCCGTGGACACGTGAAAATACGTGCCCCGTGCGCACGCGCCAGGCGCATGTTGGGTCCACCCCTCCGCGCACTCATTTTTACGTGCAAGAATCCGGCGGGCCAAGTTGGGTCCCTCGCTGCGGGGGCTGTGGACATGTGAAAACAAGTGCCCCGCGTGCACGCGCCAGGCGCATGTTGGTTCGCCCCCCTCCGCGCACGTATTCTTTTGGGAGCCGTGGACACGTGAAAAGAAGTGCCCCGCGAGCACGCACCAGGTGCATGTTGTGTCTTCCCCCTCCGCGCACTTATTTTCACGTGTGAAAGATCAGTCGGGCCAAGTTGGGTGCCCCCCCTGGGGGTGTGGACATGTGAAAAATACGTGCCCCGCCCGCACGCGCCATGTTGGTTAGCCCCGCCCTCTGCGCAATCATGTTACGTGCAAGGAACGCGGCGGGCTAGGTTGGGCCCCTCGCCTGCGGCCCCGTCGTGGCCACAACCACGCTAAAACACGTGCCGGGCACACGCATGCTAAGACTTATGTTGGAGACACCCCTTCGCAGACGTATTTCGACGTGTCAAATTCCAGCGCCGCTGCTCAACACCCTTCTGGTGGAGGGCCTTTGGCCCGCAAACTGAAGGAGAACCCTGAGCCAAAGCCCTCACTGGGAAGAAAACCGGTTTGGGATGAAAAACTGTTCCCAGGGAAGGGGTCCGGACCTCGGGGGGACCACTTTGTGAACAAATCACGACGTCGGGGGTCTCAGAGAAAGGGTATTTGGGAAAGAAGGGGACAGGCCTGCTAGGGCTTAGAATATGAGGAAGATGAGGATAACTAATCTTCGGAGCAATCCTTCGGTTTCTTCTTCCTCCTCCTCCTTCTCCTATCCGCCTCCCTATTCTTTTTCTTCTTCTCCTCCTTCTCCTCCTCTTCCTCCTCCTCCCCCTCCTCCTACTCTCATCTCTTCCCCGACGGCTCCGAGGTCGTAGCCTGCCGCCCTCCCCGTATAGTTTTTTACACACAGGATCCCCCAAAGGTGGTCGATCACGTGTGTTTCTTCAATCGGAACATTTCGGTGTTTCCAGAATGGCGCCCCCGCTGCAGCGCTGGCTCCATTTTCTGGCTCTCGGTCCTTCCAAAGCATGCTCCCGCTGCAGCGCTGACCTCATTCTTCTTTGCGGGTCTTCCAAATCGTGTTCCCACTGCAACGTTGACTCTCCTTTAACGCATGTGTTTGCGTGTGCGTTTTCCAGCCGGGATGTTATCAACCCTTCCAGAACGGCGATCTCGCTTCATGTTTAGAAAAAAGGAAATGTAAACAAAAAATAAAAAAGAAAAAAAAAAAAAACAAAAAAAGGGCAATATACGGACAGAAGCATAGAGAAAACAGAAAAAAAAAAAGCTTCATGTTTAGCTTAATTTCAACACTTCCGGCTCTTCCATGGTGGCGCTCCCGTCTCATCGTTGGCTCCACTTCCGTGTTCTCGGCCAATTTGGACAGGACGTCTACGCCATGGTAAGGGATGGGAGAAAGGTGTATAGCGTCCGATATGACGTGAGCGCACCTAGCTTGCCTCTCTCCTCTCTCCTCTCTCCGCCTCCTCCGCCTCCTCCCCGAAGCCCCTGCCCCCCCCCCTGGGCCGCCCTCCCCCGCCCCGGGCGCCGCCCCACGCGCTGCCGGCAGGCCTGCTCGGGTCTGGCCCCGCGATGCGGACCTGGCCGGGCGGGCGGCCGATGCTGCTGTCCCTCCTCCTCCTCCTCCTCCTCCTCCTATCTCCTCCTCCTATCTCCTCCTATCTCCGATCGCCGACCAGGTGGCGACCTAGCGATCCAGGCCCTGAGGGCCACATGAGTAAGGTTAACAACATGATGGCGGTTATGATGACGAGGAAGACGATGCCGATACCGATGCCGATGCCAATGCTGCTGCTGCTACTGCTGCTGACGACGACGATGATGATGCTGCTGATGATGACAATGATGATGAGAACGATGATGACAATGAGGATGGTGATGCTGCTGCTGATGATGATGCTGACGACGACAATGATAATGCTGCTGATGATGACGACAAATATGATAACGACGGCGGTATCGATGGCGATGACGATGATGGTGATGCTGCTGATGATAAGTATGATGATTGTGATTCTGATCATGATGCTGATGGTGACGATTACGATGATGCTGATGGTGATGATGATCATGAGGATGATGCTGATGACGACGACGATGCTAATGCTGCTGATGATGATGATGATGATGATGATGATGATGATGATGATGATGGCGGCAAATCTGATAATGACGGCGGTAACGATGCCGATGACGATGACGATGATGGTGATGGTGATGATGATGCTGCTGCTGATGATGATGATGCATATGATGGGGATGATGCTGGCGATGACGATGATGGTGCGCCCACCAAGGCGGAACTCTCTGGTACAATTCATAACAATGGTAAGAGACAACATGTTAGCCAGCGTGGATTTCAAACCGTGACTTCTTGCGATCTATGCGGTGTAACCAATGTGGTACAGTCAATGTGTTGCAGTCTAGGTTGTGCAGTCCATGTGGTGCAATCCTTGTGATGCAAAGCAATGCAAAGCAATGCGAATCAATGCGATGCAAAAGCAATGCAAAGCAGCGCGGCGATGGGCGACGACGAGCTGGCTAGACCGCCACTGGGGCCCAGCGGCGGCGGCGGCGACGGGCGGCGACGAGCCAGCCGGACCGCCACCGGGGCCCAGCGGCGACGGCGGCGACGGGCGACGACGGGCGGCGACGAGCCGGCCAGACCCTGGTTACCTTGTAATGAAAGTGAGAACCCCTGAGTGCAAGCACTGTTGGGTGAACCAGAGTGGACTTGCGCTGCGTATCTGCTTTGATCGTGCGCCCTGTCTAGCGCTCATGCCGACGCACTCGCCACCTCCTACGGTTGTGCAACCAGTCTTCCGAAGGTGGGGCGGATGGGTGAGGAAGAGAGGGGTGATGATGAGGAGGAGGGGAAGGAGGAGAGATGATGAGTTCGAGGAGGGGAAGGAGGAGGAGCATAAGGAGGATGGGAGGTGGTGGAAGAGAGAGGGGGGACGAGGGGGATGCGGAAAGGACAAGGAAAGGAAGGAGGGCGAGGGAGAGGACGGATGAGTAGGAGGAACATCTATGTGTATATCCGCCGACCCCAGAGGCGTGTGCGGGAAAGTGGCCAAGCTTAGCCACACCCCCAACATCTCTCGCCCAACAGCGAGCGATATCCACCTTCGCGCCCTGGCACCCCCACCCCGTCGAGCCGCTGTGGCCCACCACGCCCCGTACCCCAAGATTCGTCACCCAAAGCTGACCATCGCCCCCCTTCCCGCCCCCCCACCTGGCCCCGTCCGTTCCATCAAAGGTAGCCTCTGTTCTTAGCACCTTCCACCGACGATTTCTCACCCAAAACACCCAACGCCCTCCTCCCCGCCGCTCACCTGGCCCCTGTTCTTTGGACCCCCCCCCACCCCCATCACCCCCCCACCTCGCCTCCACCCCCCCTCGACATCCCCAGGCCTTTGGGCTCTGTTCTTGGGACCCCCGACCCCACGATTTCTCGCCCAAAATCGACCGATACCCCCCACCTCGCCCCCACCCCCCCTCGACATCCCCAGGCCTTCGGGCTCTGTTCTTGGGACCTCTGGCCCCGCGATTTCTCGCCCAAACTCGACCGATACCCCCCACCTCGCCTCCACCCCCCCTCGACATCCCCAAGCCTTTGGGCTCTGTTCTGCGAACCCTCGGCCCCGCGATTTCTCGCTCAAAATCGACCAATACCACCCACACGTCGCCCCC